AATAAAATTTTTTTTAGAATTCAGCAGTGAATACATCAAGTTTTGGGCTATTTTTAGCTAGTAGGGTGTGTGTGTGTGTGTGTGTGTGTGCACGCGCGCATGCGCGCACGCGCTGTGTGGGGGTATGTGTATGTATGTGGTACCAGGAATCAAACTCCAGGACCTCACGCTTGCCAGACAGGCACTTATGCCACTGAGCTTTATCTTCAGCCTGTTGTTGATTGTTGCTTTTTTTTTCTTCGTTTGTTTGTTTTATTTTGTTTTTATTGCTAAGTCAATTGCATTGCTTGTTATTGAGTTGCTAATCACATTTGTGTCTTCTTGGGATAGTTTCAGTAATTTCAAAGTATCTAGAAATCTATTCATTTCTTCAAATTTTACTAATTTGGCAGAATATAGTTTTTCAAAGTAGTTACTATCTTGTGGATTCTGATTATATTGTGACTTCACCTTCTTTATTTCTAGTCACATTGGCATACGTCTTTTTCTTTTAGTAAGTCTGGCTAAGGGCTTATCTATTTCATTTATTCTTTCAAAGAACTAGCTCTATGACTCATTTTGTGTACAATTATTTTAATCTCAATTTCATCGATTGCTACTCTCATCTTTATAGTTTCCATCCTGAGTTTTAGTTTGAGGCTCATTTGCTGCTATTTCTCAAGAATTTTAAGGCTTCTCAAAGGTTATTTATTCTGGTGTGATCTACTTTCCTCCAGTGAGCATTGATTGCAAAGCATTTTCCTCTGAGGATTGCCTTCAGAGTGCCCTGAGGTTTTCGTGCATTGTACAGCTATTGTCATTAGCTTCCAGAAGTTTTTCCATTTCTGTGACATTGGTTTTTTAGAACTATGTTGTTCATTTTCCAAGAGCTTTTGCCTTTTCCAAAGTTTCTTCTGTACTGATTTTAACTTTCATTGTACAGCACCAACAATGAGCAGGATGAGAAGGAAATTATGAAAGTAATATCATTCACATTAGTTTCAAGAAAAGTGAAATATCTAGGAATTAACCTAACCAAGGAAGCAAAAGATCTCTACAAAGAAAAATAATCCTCTGAAGAAAGAGTTGAAGAAGACATCAGAAAATGGAAAAATGACCCCTGCTCCTGAATAGACAGAAAAAATTCTGTTAAAATGGCCGAATTGTTATATAGATTCAGTTCATTCCCAATCAAAATACCAGCAGCATACCTTACAGATCTAAAGCAAACAATCCTGAAATTCATACTGAGTCAGAAGAGACCCAGAAGAGCAAAGTAATTTTGAACATTAAGAGCAAAGCAGGTGGCATAGCAATACTGGACTTCAAGCTATCCTACAACCAATAATGATAGAAGTGGCAGGGTAGTGGAACAAAAATAGACTTGTAGATCGATTGAATAGAATTAAGGATACAGAAACCTCCCAAGATTTTATCTTTTAGAAAGGGACCAAAAGTATACATTGGAGGAAAGATAGCCTATTCAACAAAGAATGTGGGAAAACAGGTTTCCAGTTTGTAGGTAAGTGAAACTGCACTCATCATTCAGTTTAAAAAAAAATTTTTTTTTTGGTGGAACCAGGGATTGAACTCAGGCCCTTGTGCTTGCCAGGGAAGCACTTATTCTACTGAGCCATCTCTCTGGCCCAAATTTATTTATTTATTATTTATTTTTGTGGAACCGGGATTGAACTCAGGCCCTTGCACTTTCCAGGGAAGCACTTATTCTACTGAGCCATCTCCTCAGTCCCTAAACATTAGGATATGATTTACTTTTTACCTTTTTTTTTTTTTTTTTTTTTTTTTTTTAGTAATGTCTGTATTTCGTCAAGTGAAGGTTGTGTCAGTTTGTAGCCCATGATACTCCAGGGAAG